AGAATATATAACTTCAGCTTGCAGGTGTGAGCCACATAAAATAATGAGTTCTGAAAGCCTTATATATGGCACACGGTAGGTGGCCACCACTTACTACCTGCCTTTTATGATGCTTTCAGAGCTCACTGAACTACACATTCACCCTGAAGATGGCAAATACAATGTTTGCCAAAACACTGGCTAATAATCAACATCTGATATGACTCACACCCAAAAATCAAAGTTGTACACTGAGTTCCAGCTGTGAAAACCTAAGACAAAGCGAGAACAGACACAGTCCATTCAGTAATCGAGACTGCGGGTTCAAATCCTGTTCATATGTGCATATAGTAATCCATTGTGCTACGATGACGGTGAACTTCAGTTGACCTAATCTACCACTTATATTAATAACACTGCCCTGAATCAGGCTGTAACACCAAAGAAGTGAAAAGTATCTGGTATCTGTGCAACTCTGATAAATGCTGTGACATGTCAATCAGACTGACTGATATAAATGTAACTCACCATGATGAGAAAGTGGAAAACATTTCAGCTTCATGATCACATCTGGAATGGAAGATGGATGCAGATGTTTCATTAAATAAAACTTCAATGCTCTGAGGAAATGCTGGTCATCTGCCTTGCTTTCCTCTAACTTTACAAATAATCCAAGCTTCTTAATATGTTCTTCCCACACACAGCAACTCTGTTCTATGGACCCATTAGCAGATGCAACTTGCTGTACATTATCCATGCTCACTTTATGACCAAACCTCTTAATAATATTGTCCTTACGCCCAACATAAAACAGTCTCCTGCTGCAACCATCAACCTACAATATTCAATATCAAGTTAATTATAATATTCTACTTAACATACCACATTTTTCATACGTGAAAACCAACATGTCCAAACTATTGCTGTAACTGCATTATCAGACTTGGACTGAGTTAATATCTTAAAATTAAGGCAGTATGTACAGAGGTTATCTGCCTGGGTCAGATTTAGTTGGAAATGACTATTATGAGATTCTTCACTGTTTGTTCAACATAATCTCTGCATTATAAATAACGAACAAACATCATGGATCTCAGTCCTTCTTGTGAAACTGGCAGTTGTTCAGCTAGCCAAAAGATTTCCCATTTTCTATGGAACCCAAAGGTATATTAGTTCAAAACAGCCCATCATTGAACCCTATCCCAAGACAGTTGATTCCAGCCCACACCCTTGCACCCTATTTCTTCAAAATCAATTATAATATTATCTTGCCTTTTATGCCTATGCCTCCCAAGCAGTCCCTTTTCTTCAGGTTTTCCAATTAAAATTATCTATGTCACTTTTCATTTTCTCCATGTATTAGTTAGTTCCTGTGAACTCAATATTCTGCAGTGTGAAAGTTGACTATAAAGTTTAAAAAATCTTCAGCATATCATCTACTGAACCACAAGCAGTACAAAATTGAATCATAACAATTATTTAAAGAAAACTGTGGGGCACATAGCCTGTATACTTACTTTCACAATATCTCCAGTTGCTCTGTAAAGTGGAAAATGCAAGTTTTGCACAATTTCATTGTCAGTAAGACAAACTCTTTCCACGCTACCTTGAAAAGAAATAACAGATTAATGCTTCACTTTACTGTCATATTTCATAATTTTTTAAGTATGAAATATAAAATTTGTATTCTTAAGGCTAATGACAAAACTATGCAGTATTTTCTAAAGCTAAACAAGAGGAGAGGTGTATTCCACTAGAGTGCTCATGTTTTCTGAACATATTCTTTACTATTTTCATGCCTAGCTGGCCTTAATGTTCTTTTGCTGAAAATCTTAAACATATTCCTGCAGAGTTAATTGCATTACAGGATTGAGATTATGCAGGACACAAACATGAAGCTGAAGCGAGGGCGGGTTACCACTTGGTACCAGCAGCCAGCTATGGTGACAGTGAGAGTACAGTCCACAGCAAAGATATGAAAACCTTATACATAAGCATCCACTGCTTTTATAAAGAATGGACTCAAGTTGAATACCAATGAAATATTTGATTTTAAACAGATTTTGGCAGCCAAATTATGATAAAGATGCAGTTCCATAATGAAAGAGCAACATGACAAACATTACTACAAATTTCACTGTACAAAACAAAATCAGAAATGTCACGGAAGTCACCACTGCTCTCAGAGCATGTTTCCAGTAATTGTAACAACTAAACTATGTTGATTATATTAACACTATGTAAGAATCCAGAGATGCACAAAAATAATTAATATTTTAAACTGAAATCCAGCAAACAGTGCATGAATTACCATAAACATCTTCAAATGGTGAAAATACATTTGCTATCTTCATTTGAGAATGACCTTGTTTTCAGAAAAATACAGAATTGTAGCAAAGTATTTACAAATTGCTGTTAATCCCATCAAAAGAAGTTCATTCATAACTGTATATATCAGGCATTTCACCTAGTGCAAAGGAAAGTAAACAAATGTAAAAAGTGGATGACTCTCACACCTGCCTCCTGATTTAATTAGTAACCATCCTACCAATCTTATTCAGCCTTACCACTTCTCAGTTGTAGATACAGCAGTCAGAATAAATTGAATGAACAAAGAATACACTCACCTATGTACAATTCCCCTTCTCCATTGAAGATTTCTTCACCTAAATTATCCTTGACTTTAAGTAAAGTATGAGACAATGCATTCCCTAGTGGCACGGCATTCTGCTGGTTTGAAACTTGTCTCTCACGGATATTATGATCAAATGACTGTGCTTCATCCTGAAACACTACTTTGTGAACTGTTGCCCAGCATGACACTTCAGTAATTCCATAGATATTAAAGATCTCTGTATTATTTTCTTTTGACTTCCACTGTCTTAACACCTGCTTTGAAGGGCATGATTCACCACCAAGCACTAAAACACGCAATGAAGATTTCTTACAAAGAAGTGTGCTTTGTATCTCTTCCATGGACCATCGCATAACAAATGATGGAGTTGCTTCAAGAACTGTTACTCCATGTTTGGTGTCAGAAAATAATACCTTTAACAGCAGATGTGGTGATGACTTCAAAGTGTGAGTCACTATAAGAAGCAACGCTCCAGTAGACAAAGCCAGAAAAAGTTCAACAACACTTGGGTCAAATGTGAAGGGTGAAGCAAGAAATACCACATCACTTGACTTAACAGACAAAACAGACCTGAAAAATAACATCACAGGACACAATGTGAGATCTGATATTCTCATGGGAAAGAAGATGTTGAAGTTGGTCCTCTCAGTTGTAATGCTGTGTGGATTTGTGGGTAGATATCAATGTTTTGGAGACAGAGACAGTATAGCATGTTCCTCCAAAACACTGGTGTCTATGTACAAGTCCACATGGTGTTAACCCAAAAGACCAACATCGAAAAAAGAGTTTTACAGTAAATTATTGGCTGCAGTATCATACGTAAGATTTCATTTTGGAGGAAAGACATTAAGCAAATTAGCTAAAATTACACATCAAACACTTTTATCAACAACTCTGGTTTTACTTATAGTTCGCGACTGTAATCTTGAGACTGGCGGGGTGAGGAAGTGGGATGAAGGAGGAAAAATAGCGTCAGCATCTTAATGCTTTGGACTTCCTGCATTCCTTGAAAGTCTCAAGATTACAGTCATTCACAGTATATCACCAAATGTGTTTTGGCTCCGTTTGGACCATCATCTGTGGTTTGGCACATATTAGGTTCAAAACACATTTTTAAACACAATAAAATTTTTAAACAATTCAGCCACGAATATACAGTTAACACTGCCACTTGATAATAAAATCCTTATAAGTCACTATGCCATTTGTTTAAAATGTTAACATTTCCTTTAGGAAATTAAATTAAAAATATATTGTGCACTCAACTGCATCCTTTATATATGTTACATCAGGCTGTAAGCTTCATTCACAATTGTAAATCTTACCACAACCTGTCCATACCCAGTCTACAAATTTCTTTAGTGTGCATACCATCATGCTTAACCATTATGATTCCCGATTCATACACCCTTATCCACTGCCCATGCAGTATGTTGGGTGCACTGATTCACTCACTTATTCAGTGAACAACACATACTACATTGGCAGTGGATAAAATAAATATTTCACATACACTCCCCCTCCGCCAGTCAACTATGGTTATGGTTTATAAAGCCATATTTCTGAAATTCTGACTTACTGAAGACTCTGGATGTTGGGCACAATGCACCTGTGAGGTACTCTAACTATCTTTGGGTGTCCAGTTGTTCCTGATGTCTGGATTGTGTATGCCATTCTCCACTCATCTTGGTTACATCCATCTTCTACAGATGATGAAGTTTCTACATTATTTTCCCAAAGCACAATGGTACATCCATGAATTGAGATATATTTGCGAAATGTCCAACAACTATGTACATCTGATTCAGAAAAGATCCAACGAATGTTCAAGTCTCTCAGAATATCTACATTTCTATTTTGATATTCTGGATTCAAATATGTAAATGCTGAGCCATTACGGAGTATCCTACAGGCAGAAAGTAAGGGTGATATTACATTACAAGTACACAATAAATGTCCATCCCATTTGCTGTGTAGTCCATTTAGATATTATTTTTAACACAGGACACACATCTCTTTACGCAGAAAAATAACACTGTAAATAACAAACTGCTACTCAGAGAAGGACCCAATTAATAACTGACATCTCCTAACCACTTCTTGTGTTCCCTATAGTTAGATATTTCATATGCATTAATTCTTCCTCTCACACAGGTAGCATGACATGGTAGATGTTTTCATTCTAAGATTATATAATCATCTAAATCTTCCTGTCACTCATCTAAAATATAAAATGCATAATAATTCTGTATTATGAATGGAAGGCAGAACCACACATTTCCCTGCAATTCAGCATTGTGTTAAACAGAAATAAGACTGATATGTTTTCTAAATTAAAGAAAGTAGTGCATTATATTTTGTTATATTTATGCAGGTTAATCTTTGCACTATAAGGTGTTGATTTGGACTTCTGCACGTCACTCTTTAAACATGTCTTCAAATATGACATTTTTAAATTGTGATTTCGTAACTGATTAGCTGAGAATAATGTTGAATAACATTCAAAAAAGTACTAATCTTGAAAAACTAGTAATTGCTAGCAAAATTTATTATACTTCCGACCTACGACATTTAACAACGAATTCGTGGTACTCTAAGGATATAAGGTTCTTACGGCAGCGACTATGCAGATGAGTGTATTTTTGGTTGTAGCGTCGTG